CCTGCTGGTTCACTCCAGCAGTTCCAGTATTGGTTCATCAAGATAACTGCGAGTCTGTCATCTGCGTTTCATCAACCGTTGGCACGGAGAATGCATAAGCATGGAATGCCCAGTTGGCAGGAGTCACCCCTTCTCAGCCTACGTGTGGAATTCACGGATGGGACTCTGATCGGGCCCCTTGGTGATGCTTTGTCAATGTATGCAAGGGTCTTTGTCTTCAGAAACTTCCTGCACAAGCAGTTTGCCATTGTGACAGCTTGTTCGGCAGAGGTCTTGCCAGATTTATCGGCCAGACCCTCGATCTGAGAAGATGTCGCAGTACCTCTTGACGGACGGGGTCCGTGGTAGCCGTGAGATACTGCCAATGAAGTGAAAAAGCCGTGGATCGCTCCTGGAACGTTGGAAGCAGTTGGCACCATGCTTGTCCACAGACGGGTCCATGAAGTCTGAACAGCCCAGCGTACTCACAGCCACACCGCAAAAGATACCGCGAGGACTCTGCTGGCAGCCCGGCAGACTGTGGTATCGAGCTCCAAGTCCTGGAAGGAATTGCCAAGGCATGTTTAGGGGTTTGAATCCTGACGCAGCTTCAAGCAGCAGAGAAATGCTTTGAGCAGAAATCAGAGACGCATGTAGTGTAGTCTTGGCTTGTTGACAATGAATGCTCTGCCCAGAGGCAAGGCGAGAAGTGGGCGGCAACCTGGCGCCCGGCAGCCGCGTGGCCGGGCACCCGAGAAGCAACCCCACCACAATCATTATGTTAGTGCGGAAGGGAAGCGGTTTCAGCCATGACTGATTGTTGTACGGTGGAGGTCGATGTCATTCGATGTCATGCCGAACAGTAGGATCCCTCGTGAGAGGATAGGCGCCTCAGGGGCCTAGGGTTCTGGCGATTACCTCTATGTCCGTTGAGTTAAGTTCGCAGTCTGACCATGCAGCTTCAACAGCAGAAGAAGCAGGAGCCGTAAGTAACCGCCGTAGAGTAGAGATAGTAGCAGCGGCAGTCGCTGCAGCAGCAGGAGTTGAGCTCTTGGGAGTTGCAGACACTGCCACAATGACGATGAAAGCAGCAGTCTACAGAACAGTGCATGTGATTCCATGCTGCCGCTTTGGCTCAAGGGGTCACATCTCAGATGCTTTAGCAACCTGAAGCCCAATGGACTTGTCAGCTCGTTACAGCATCAAACACCCGCTGGGAGATTGAAGCAAGCACTGCCAAACAAACAAGCAAGCGCTTCAAGAGCTATCATGCAATCCCCCGGTGCCTAGCATTTAGAGCAACAGCAGACGAGAGCCTGGTGAGAGGGCTTATGGGTTGTTCGAGCTCCAACAATGGCCCCGTTGAGCCGAAGGTCCCGCCTGTGTCCGGTCTTCGAAAGCACGCTGGCGTCCACGACCTGCGGCGCAGCCACACAGGCGGTGTACACCTGCAGAACAACACCAGCGATGACCTGCAGGCAAGCCAGCTCTAAATGCCTCGAATAAAAGGTTGGGGGCTCACCATTGGCGCCGCCGGATCAAATGGTGAAAATCGGTTGAATGTGAGGTGTCGGGCAGGGCTTGTCACAGGTCCGCTTTGCCGAGACGAGCTTGTTGGGAAGCTTCCTCAAGGCCCTTGAGCTGCCTGCAGGCCGGATTTCTGGGTTTGGGTTTCAATCCTCCTTCAGCAAGCCTTCAAGCACAAATACAACAGAAGGAAGACTTGCAGATAAGTCAACAAGACAAAAAAAGACTTGAATTGTCAGGAGGCTCGTTGACTTTTGACCCTGGAGAGTCCTGGAACTTCGACTTCCACCTCTCAGTGGCCGAGAGCAACCTTCGAGCCCACGTGCTTCGAGGGGGCTCATATGCGCTTACTAGAAGTTCTGATTCCAATGCGAAGAATTTGGTTCTGGAAAGACTGTCCTCGCCATCCAGGCAGACCAGCGAGAGGCTTGCAGACCTCAAGGGTCTTACATTCTCGTTCTCAGCATCTGGTTGGCTTGTGATTTACCAGCTTGGAGTTGCAGAATGCTTGCAGAACCACGGCGCCCGGTTTGGCTCTGGTACTGTCTTTCTCGTTGCAGCCTTCCTGCCATCTTCCTGTCATCCAGCATGCATGCTGCCAGTTGATTGCAGCTAAGGCATCACCAAGAACCCTTACGTGCGCGTTTCTGGAGCCTCCGGCGGTGCTTTGACCGCTTGCATGATGATGTACGGCGCGGACCCGCGCAAGCCCTTTGAGGTGCTCTTGCGATGCGCGCAGCTAATCCATGCGAGGCCTGAGAAAGCCTTCTTGCTCAGGAAGTTTGTGCTGCAGGCAATGCAAGAGATCATCCGGGATGGATCATTTCAGCATCCTGCGTTCGAGACACATCGAGTGGAAATCGGGGTGTCCTCCATTCAGAATAAGGGCCACGGCCGCTTCATCAAAATGATGTTGAGTGGCCAGGAGCACCGACTAAAGGACTTCACAAACACGGCTGACATTGCTGTGGCCCTACTTGCAACCAGTCTCAAGTAGACAGCGTTTTCAGCGCGAATCTCACTCTGTTACCCTATTGTATGAGACACTTGCAATGTGTACTCCATATTTTGAATGTAGGTCCTGAAGCCATTTTTTGATCATGCCTCCTCGTTCCAAGCTAGAGCTGCTTAAGCCCTTTCCTGGCATGATGAGGCTCAAGTTCTGCCTTTCACTCCTGCCTCTATAGCCATAACCCTTCAAGAAAAGCTACAACAAACAGGACAGGGCCACATGACACGTTGCCGTAGCTCCAAGGCATCCTCTACCTGTGGCATTTCTGGTCTTCCGTTCACATTCAAGGATGAGAATGGGGAGGAGCGACAAGTGGCCGACGGTGCCTTCAAGACCTTTCTGCCAGCAATTGACGAGCACTCGATTACGGTAAAGCCGTTCTGTGCTGGAATGGACGTGCTGCATCTCACGGGACACAGGGCAGATGTGGGGCCCTCTGAGTATGTGCCTGCATCCTTTGGGATCTTCCCGCCGCCTGTGACGCTGCTGGAGCATCTCTACGAGCTTGGATACCAGGACATGGAGACCTGGCTTCACCGTCACTTGCATGACCGTACGAGGCAGGTGGCTACTGCGGCTGAGCAGCAGGCGGGGCAAACAGATCGCTGACAGTCGCGCAACTGATGTTGCGCGCTTCCGAACCTGCACAGGCTGACCTGCCGCCAGTGGAATTCAGCTGCCAGAACGAAGGCATGCTTTGGCATAAGGAGGTTCTACAGCGGGTTCCTGTGAAGTGGGCAGTTCCTTGGCAGATTGCTATGCTGCTTAGGCTTACACGCTGCCGTGATATGACCCAGCCCCATTTTGCAGAGGACATGCTGAACTCCCGCAACTTCCTTGCAGACAAGGGCCCAGCCATCTTGCACCAAGGCGTTGCCGAACATTGGGTCACTCAAGCCGTTTCTGCGCGCTGCATGTTGTCTTCACTAGCAGGCATGATAGAGCTGAGCGACCTTCACTTCATGGGCGCAAACGGGCAAAAAGCACAGACGCACAATGCAGAAGCTGCAAATGTCAAGAGGTGGATGGTGCAACGCGGCAGCAGAGCACATTCTAAGCCTGCTAAGCACTATGAGTCTGACTGTGTGTCCCAGCAGAGGAAGATATCAGTGCTGAAGTCACAAGCACAGCTTACCAGTGCCAGCCTTTCGCTCATGCTGCTTGTGCCGTTGGGCCATCTGAGGCTGACTGACTTAGACATGCGATGGCAGGAGAGTGAGACAACTGATCTGAAACCTGTCCAGACGTCTGGAGTGCTGAGCCATGACACCAGAAGAATTAATCAAATGTTTCAATCAATTTGTTGATGCCAGCTGAGGAGTCAGGACGCGGAGGCGCAGCAAAAGGTCCCTCAGTCTAATTGGAGGATGTGGCGTTCAATATTGACAGAGGGTAGTTAGGGCCAATGCTAAGGTTGACTGGATGATACGAGAGGCGCAGGTTACGGCGGGTGCTGAGACATCTCACGAGAAGTTTCTCCACAGGCATCTGCGCAACCAGCAGACAGTTGGATGCTTCTTTGATGCATGCTTTCCACATCAGGCTGACCTCAGGGCGCGTTCATCTCTCCTGGATCTTGGACGCATACGTTGACGAGAAATGCTTCCGGTGCTCCATAGACACTCCTGAGAGGCACTTCGTAGTCAGCACAGAGCCTCATCTTGAAATTCATCTGGGCTGCTCAAAAGGAAGAAAGGGTCAGGGAGTCTCCCACGATGGGAAGATGCAATGCTGAGGTCGATTATTCCCTGACTCTGAAGGCCAACTCTCACAATGACGCCATTGCCTGGACTACGGCACTCCAGGATGCGATTGCAGCCACGAGGGACTACGACCCGAAGATGAACAAGGTCAGTGAACAGCCCACAGAAGTGTCTGCAATCGACAAGGAATGACAATGAATGACAGTTTTCAGCACCAAAGCGTGCTGGTTTAATGCAACCCCAGACTCCTCATCGAAAGGAACCTCTGGGGACCAGTGGTGGCCAACAGAGCCCTGCCAATTACCTTCAACTTCAAAAAATCCGATGCATCATAGGGAATGAAGTCAAGAACCAGGTCGGGCGACTCCAACTTCGGGTTCTGGGTGCATTTGATCTCCAATCTCGAGTTCGAGACTTAGTTTGGTGAAATCCGGCTATCCTACAAGTAGCTTCATGTGGCCTACATTTCTCCAGAATGATTGAGCAAGAAGGATCGAGACTGTCATGTATTGAGGACCGCAGCGCCCTGCAGCTGCCCTGGCGTGCTTCTGGCAAACCAGATCGGGGCTGTGACAGCTGCAGGCCTGCAACGTTTGTCAAAGCATCGGTCGGCAAGACCACGCACAGGCCGGGGTGAGCTTCTCTGGCTGTTTGTGCTGCCGCGAAGCGAAATCAGATATGTTTGCAGTGGTTTGACTACACTGAGAATCGTGGCACATGGTCGCCTCGGCTGTCCGTCTGCAACGTTGCTGTCGCATGAGCCCTCAAAATCTTTGCCTGATGAAAATTGGAGGATAAACAGCTTGAGTGCAAGCTCGTCCTGCATCAACTTTTGCGATGGCATGGGCTCGTCTGAATAGCGTCATTGAAAAGGATGTTCTTCATGTTTTTCAGGCAGAGGCCTGATCGGCAAAGGGTTTTTTCTTGGAGCGATCAAACACCAAGTTGGTGGTAGGACTTGGAACTTTGCAAATGAGTAGTTCCCAAAATTGGCATCCCGTTTTGGTAGCACTGAATATTAGGTGCCGTAATATATAGCCTATAAGGGGCCCATAATTTTGAGAAGAACCCAAGTAGCTTGTCTTCAAGTTGGTGGGGCTGGTGCTGCAACACGCCAGAGGACGCTCGTCGCAGAGGGGAGCACAAGCCCTGTTTGGCCCACGAGCAACGAGCCACGGCCTCAGTTCCCATCAACGCCCTGTGACCCATGATCATCGCTACTTTTCTTTCCTAAGCATCTGGGTTATGATTGCTCGAGTCTTTTCATGTTTTGCGTCTGCCATGGAGTTCAAACGGAAGCTGGCAGTTCTGCATCGGTGGCATGCAGAGGGCACTGATATAATCTGATTCTTGGCCGGTGTGTTTGGGGAGCACGGCAGAAGATGCAGGAGGCTTGTCTTGCGTGAGGGAAAGATGGAACTAAACAAGTTCGCAGGGGCAAGAGAGATGGGGTTGTCGGTTTTGTCCACACCTGTGCAGTGAGTCAGTGAGGTTCACTTTTCCGGTGGGGGCCGAGGATGCTGAACTTGAGCTCCAGGCCAGGGCGCTTGTGAGCCTGCATGGGGCGTAAGCGCAGCGCGTTCAGCGCGTTGAAGGTGATACACTCGTCTGTGGCGGCCAATGAAGTCTTGGGGTCAGTGAGCTTGCATCTCAAGCTTTCAGGTCAGTTCTTGTAAGCTTTTTGCTTCCTGAGACGGCTGTTGAGGCCTTGCGCTTTGGAATGTTCCTCGTGGGCAGTGGCTGCAGCACGCACCCGAGCTGGAGCTCTGCATGTTGATGGTACTTTAGGTGCCTGGAGCGCATGCACCAACGTTCGTAGCCACAAGCGGCGAAAAACACTGAGGAGGCGCGAGAAGCTTCTGGGGGGTCGAGGCGAGCTGGAGTATGCCTTCCTCTTCGAGCCAGCTAAGGCCAGATCATTCGCAAGCTACCTTTTGCAGATGCTCTGTGATGATGGTGTTGCTTTGGCGCCGCCAGCGGCTAGAGAGTGAAGAGATTGGTCGAGAGCGTGCCTGGAAGGTATCTACGGAGGTGCCCCGTCCAGGAGCTGTGCCTCAGAAGGCTGCGAGCGGCTGCAATGGGCACTGGTATTGAAACACGTCCCCAGTTTTTGCCACAGGCAGAACCTCAGGCTCCCCCGGCACCGCCTCCAGCCCTGGCTGGGCCCAGTGGTGGGAGCTACGGAGGCTCTTAGCCCAACCATTTATGACACCATGGACAACCAAACGCTCCAGCATAGAAAGGTCCAGGCCTCATCGGCGCCCCTCTCACCTTGTTGCCTCAGAGCATGTGCCCCGGTTTTTCTTTAGAGATTCTTTCTGCCTATGCAGCTTTGCATTCCTTGTGCCCAGTTCCGGGACCCCTGCCACCGGGCTCGCTGGTAGCTGGGGACCTGGCGTTGCCCCCACTGACAGCAGGCCGGCAGCAGTAGAGAAGACAGAGTACAGTTACAGTTACACCTTGCTCCGCAAAGCAGGCTGGGAGGCCTTCAAGCCTCCCCCACGAGCCCCTGGGGCGCTGCGCTCTTTGCCACCACCTCCCACCAAGGAAGAGCGCAGGCAGAGGGCCCTGCATGCGTCCCAAGAATAGGAGTTTTTGAGCAACTGACTAGGATGGAGGAGCATCAAACATTGTTTCCGGACATGTTCCATTACGTTCCGGTCTCAAGCGTTGGCCGGATGCCAGAATACCTTCAAATGCACTGTGCACTACTATGCAGCTTCAGGAGAAAGACGAGCATGAAGCTGAAGAGCCAGTGACCTTTGGGGGGTTCCAGGGAGACAAGGGTCCTGCAACGTAACGTGCACGAGGCTCTGGTTGAAGCCGCCGGAGGCAGGCAAGGCTGGATCCCTACAGCATGAAGTGCCGACCAGAGTACATCCGTTGCGGCCTGGATAGCAGGTTGACCGGCTTTTTGGTGCAGACCGGGACTTCGAGGTGCAAACAACCAAGCAAGGATGTCCAGCACAAGCGCTTCCTGGCAGGTGTTGGCCTCTACAGTACTCAGCTCAGGAGATGCGGCTTTGATTTGCATGCTGCGCCATGCGTGCATTGCAAGGCTGAGAAGTGGAGGGCCCCAGTACTGACACCTGTGCACCTCGATGTCTTCCACGACAAGGTGCAGCAGACTTCTCCGCAGGTGGTTAGGTGAATTGCGCCCACACTAGACTGCTGACCAACGTCATTTCCAGATTTACAGAAATGACCAGGTCTTCCCGGACATGGATGCTACCTAGCAGCATGCCATTTGCTGTGCCGCAAGTCCTTTGCAACGGCGTTTTCTGAGGTGAGCCTTGTGCTCCAACCTGAGGGCAACCAGAGGAAGGAAATGCCGGAGCCATCCTGAGGGCTAAAAGCAGACGGAATGCTTTGCGCTGACGTAGGCCGTGCAAGTCTCTCACCTTGCCCTTTAACTTGGTAGTTTCCATAAATAGGGGGGCCCTAATATACACCCCAATATATTATAATCCTCCTTATTGGGACCCCAAAAAGGTACCCCTAATTTTGGGACATCCCCACTTAAGACTTAGGCGCGAGAAGCGAAGACGAAGAGGAACGATCGGCGCCCAGGGCTCGGTTCCTTCGCCAGCCTTTGTGTGATAGGGCAAATCTTGTTGGAGGCAACAAGGGGCTGCCGGAGATTCCTGAAACCCTGGCGCAAGTTGCTTTTTTCCCTCGATGTTTTTTTTGATTGGCTCCAGATGGGCTAACTGTAAAGGTGGATGGCTGGCTGGACAAGGCCCAGATTGCCAAGCAAAAGGAAATTGCCCAAACCCGGCAGCCACTGAGGTGGGGACTTGACCCTGAAGACAGAAACTCTCGCGCTTTATGATGCGTCAGGCAGCTCACAGGGGAGCAGTCGAAGAATCTCCAGAGTTCCCCGCATGCACAAGCCCCACACCGAGTGGTCGGGGGCTCAACTTGTGTTAGTACGCGGGTGAAGGGGTGAAGCCTTTTTTCTTCCATTGCAACCAAGGAGTTGAAGTCAGCATCGCCTATTCTGGAGGCCTACCTTTGCTTCATTGCTGTTTGGGCAAGGCATGCTGACTTGTACTGTTCCCCAAGCTAAGGCTCGGAGTAAGCGACGACGCGCAAAGTTGAAGGCCGATGAACTCTGCTTTTGCCAGCTGCTGCGTTAAGCAGATGCCAAGAGCACCCTGATGCCTGGCATCCCACGTTGCACTGTTCGAATGTGTTTGGCCTTCGGGCGTTCGATGATGCTCGATAGCACCTACTCATTACTCGTTCTCAGGGCTCCTCGGTGCAGATGTTTCCTTGTATCGCTGCACATGCAGGTGGAGAGGGAGCTCGTTCGACCTGAGCAGGCAGCCAGCAACATTTGTGAGTGTGCAGAGTGTCAGGGGCCCTGATGCCTTTCAGTGGTCAGGCTCTTGACATTGAACAGCAGCTGCAGAGCAGCTTTACAGGAATTAGCTCGACATGAGTCCAAAGATTTCCTAAGCCAGAGTTGCCAGGTTCTGAGATGGTTTCCCTTGACCCAGAGCTCCAGCCCAAGCAGTACAAAGCACAGGCTGGCACATGCTGGCACTGTGACTGTAGTGAAGAACCAAATTTCCGTTCATGGAGAAGCAGCAGCGATTGCTTGTGATGTGCGGGGACAGGTGGTCAGCCACTTGGAGTTGGAGGATACTGCAGGGGAAGAAAGACGTGTCTGGGCAGGGGCCTCGTTTGCAGCGCCGTACGCCACTTGCGTGTGCAGCCTGCAGGTACGAACGCCTGCGACAGACCCAACCGTCATGGAGGCATCCGCACTAGTCCATGGCAGTACCTGCTGGTGTGCGCCTGTAGTGGACGTAGTTGTTGACGAGGATCAAGTAGCTAAGTGCTGTCGGCGTGCTACTGGCTGAGAGCTCCCGAAGGCGCCCAAAGTGGCCCAGCAGCATCGCAGATTTGACATGCACGAGTGCCAGCCGCTACCCAACTTCACCCAAGCAACTTGCCAGACATCCCCTGAAGCCTTTTGCAGAGAACCATGGATGACCTCTCCATCAACATCTCGGGCTTGGCCCCGGCCGCTGCTCGGACGGTCGCTGCGTTGCGGCCGCGCGGCCCCAAGCGCCAGAGCACACTGAGCAGATCGCCAGATGCAAAGCATGCAAAGCGCGGTGCTGGCCGCAGCACTGCGGCCCAGCAGATACCAGGAGGGACCAATACAGATTCAGATGAGTTGAGGAAGCCTCGCCAGGAACTGAAGCCCAAGAAAAAGCCGAAGCGCGTAGAAAGTGAGTGGAAGTCAAAGCAGGTGCAGGTGCTGGAAGCCTGGAAACGGACGGCTGCAGCTCAGGTGAAGGACCCGCGCGCAAGCACTGAGGATCCACCTCCACCTGCGACAAAGCAGGCCAGCATCAAGCGCGGCAAGCGCGCCAAGAAGGACGCCTTTCCAGCGGGGCAAGAGAGCCCGCTGCCGGACTCGAAGACCAAGAAGCCGAAGGTCCGAAGTCCCAGCGAGGGACCTCCTGATTCAGCAAAGCTGAAAAAGGGCGGCATTGTTTCAGACACTGCGTTTGCAGCCTTAAAGCTGAACGAGTCCTTGCTTCGGCAGCTCGAATACCTCGGCTTCGCAGATTGCACGCCAATCCAGGCACTTGCCATCCCTCGAGCACTAACAGGCAAACGGGATGTCCTGCTGCGAGCCCCAACTGGCTCTGGGAAAACCCTGGCGTTTTTACTGCCTGTGCTTCATCAGCTGTTGGTTTCTCCTGGTGGCTTGGACCGAAGGACTGGCCAACAATGCTCAGGACAGCTCCTTGCTGTCTTTTGCTTCTTTTGCTTTTGATGCAGGAAAGGCACGTTGGCCACCGTCCTCTCGCCCACGAAGGAACTGGCGCTGCAGACCCTCAAGGTCGCATCTGATCTGGCTCGGATGGTGCCATCCCTCGTTTGCGGAGCTGTGGCAGGCGCCTGCCACTACTTTTGCCTCTCTCCCTCTCATTGACAGTCGATAGCTCCGACGACACAGGCGGAGAGAAGCCAAAGAGTGAGAAGGCTCGGATACGCAAGGGCGTCGTGCTGCTTTGCGCAACGCCAGGGCGCTTGGCCTATCATCTTGAACACACAGCCATGTTTGTGGCATCCTGGTTTTTTGAGACGCACATGCCAGAATCTTTTCCAATCTGCAGTTGGGGGTGGAGTGCGGGAGAAGCTTTACATGGTCAATTTACGGAAGGTTGACGTTGCGTGTGTCAGGCTATCCCAAACACCTGCCGTAGGGCTTGAGGTTTGGGTTTCAGGCTTGTAGGGCCGAACGGTTTTAGGATGGACAAATGCCGCGGTGGGGCACACACCGGTGTACCTTGTAGTCGGAAAGTCTTGCCAAGCACGATTAGCAAAATTGGCAAATCCATGTTTGACAATTTGAGACTGTTTTCCGGTCGCTGGCGCTGTCCCCGGATTTGCCTGTTTCTGAGCTCCGTGTTGAGAAAGGTACGCAACATCCGTTGCCTTGTGCTGGATGAAGCAGATCGCTTGCTGGACATGGGCTTTGAACCGCAGATACGGTCCATCCACAAAAAAGTCCTAGAGGCTGCGCAGGACATGAGGGTAAACGGGTAAACAGCTCTATAGGAATAATGGGATATTAAATGGAAACTACTATCGTATATCGGGGCTATATAGGAATACTGGAAAACAACATGGAAACTACTATAGGCGTCTTGGTCAGATCACAAATGTTGGCCACACGAGGAGGGAGAGAACAGCGAGAGCCTCACGGGACCTGTGCAGACACTTCTGGTCTCAGCTACCCTGGTCCCAGCAGTAAGGCAGCAGCTGGGCAGGACATAGCCGCAAAAGTTCCGTTTGGTCGGCAAATATCAGAACCAAGCCAAGTGATTCTACGCAGAATTACGCAGACAAGGATTTTTCCAAGCGGCCTGCACTGTGCCACATTTTGAAATCAATATGTCGAGGAAGATCAAGAGCATTTTTTACAGCTGTGAAACCTCACCTCAGCCCTTAAGGCCCTAAGGCGTCTCCTAAGCCAAGCGGCTCACATAATACAATTTGCCTCTCAAGCCCAAGACTTCAAGATGTCGGTTCAGGCTTGCAGACTTTTGCCTTCGCCCCAAAGCATTCTGGGCAGATGCAGAAGCAGATCCAAAGCAGGAAGTGAGCGAGTCAGGAACAGTAGCAGTTGGCCAGGAGCTGAACTTTGCAGCGCCATCAACCTTGACACAGTGGTATTGTGTAGTTCCGGGCAAGGAGCGTCTGACGGCACTCCTGGCTGCCCTCCTTTCCCGAGTGGGCGACAAGAAGTCCATCGTCTTCTTCTCCACTGGGGCTTCCGTGGACTTCCACTGCGATCTGCTACAAGATGCGTCCTGGCCTCCGCGTGGCGGCGTACAGAAGAAGACTGAGGGTCCTGCCATCAAAAAGCTTCGCGGTCGTTTCGTCGGCCTGGCTAAGGATGCCAAGATGCTGAGAGAGGAGGATGAGGAAGATGACGAGGAAGATGAGGAGGAAGAGGCCGCACCAGATGGCCTGGAGGAGACCGGCACCGGAACTGGCAGTGGCGACAAGATGTTTTTGAAAACAAAGATTTTCAAACTGCACGGCAGCCTCTCCAAAGAGGAGCGCGCAGGCTACATTGCCGATTTTCTCAAGGTTGCAGGGGGAGTGCTGTTGGCCAGCGATGCAGCATCCAGAGGGCTGGATTTCCCGCAGATAGATTGGATCATCCAATACGACCCTCCGCAAAGGACGCAGGGGCCATTGAAAAGAAGCTGCTTTCTTTCTTCAGGGAATGACCCCAAGACCTTGCCAGGACTGAGGAATACCTCCACCGCGTTGGCCGCACAGCTCGCATCGGCAAGCAGGGCAGTGCCTTGCTGTTTCTGCAGCCAAGTGAGCTCGGATTCCTGGATGTCTTGCGGGGCCGGGGCCTTGCTGACCTCAGGGAGATGACGCTGGAGGACCCTCCACCCTCTACAGTTCCTCTAGTTCCACTGGTTCCAGCGGTTGCTCTGGAACGCCTAAATTAGTAAAGATAGCAAGGAATTTTTGTTTTTGGTGCATGCTACGAAGGACCTTGTCGTGGGTGTGCGCAGCAAGGCGCCCCCCGCACTGGCGGGCTTCCGCGACTTGCAGGCGTTCAGCGTACCACGGGCGACAGGCGGCAAGAACATCAGAAGCTTTTTCTTTTGTAGCTAAAACAGGCGCTGCTGTCCGGACATCTGGCTAGCCGCGTGGCCGGCCAGGCGGCACTGGCTGCACGGGCTCGGTCTGGCTTTCTGGCCTCCTTGAAGGCGAGGTCCGGAGCAAGCTGGCTATGCTTTCTCGTGTTTTCTGGTGTTTTTTTTTCTGCGAGCTTTGAGGCCTATCGCTCCTTCCCGCGCGAGTTGAGGGCGGCCTTTCCCTTCGGCCAACTTCATTTGGGGCATTTGGCTACGAGTTTTGCCCTCCGCGAGGCGCCACGCGAAGTGGTGCAGAAGAACAGGCGCAGCTCAAAAACCTAGATCATGGGCCTACATTCTTGCCGCCATGCCGCTAGGTCCTAGGTTTTGTTCCCCTTTGTCCCAGGTACGACCGCGCAGCCGAGGAGGGCCCAGCAGAAACCAAAAGCAAAGGCCGAACAGGCCGAGCGCAAGGCTCCGACAGGCGCAAAGGCTCCGGCAAGACGAAGGGCACGAAGGGCACGAAAGGTGCGAAGGGCGCGGGCAACGGCAAAGCTCCCCAAAGCGGTAAGTCCCGCAAAGGGAAATCCAAGTCTGGGCTCGGCTCGATGGATGATGAGTTTGCTGCCTGACCTCCCAAAAAAACCGGCTGCATGGGCCTTTTTTTTCTCGAATAGAGAGAGCCTTTCGAAGGGGCTTTGTGCGTCAGGTTCCTGAGGATGACCAGTGGCTTGAGCCATTTCAATCGCCAGACATGATGGCCAGCTCCCCAGAGTCCTTTGTGTCTGGCAGTGCTGCGAGTACCTCTGGATAGAGAAGGTGGGCATGTCCAGCCGGAGAGGCAAGCGAGGCAGTCGACCTCTCAGCAAATCCAATCCGCAGCTACAGCCACAGTACCCGACCCACCGATTCGCAGTGCCAACATCCTGACATCAGGCACGGACCCTCTGCCCTGCCAGGCAGATGGGCGTTTTGACCCCACCAGGACAGTGTCCAGCATACAACTGTGGAGGACTGCGTCAGCTTGACGCGCTATGACGAGGATGTCCTGTACGTGGTAAGCACGCGTCTTAGACCCATGCATGCTGCATGGCATGCTGCGAAGTGCAAAAACAAATGCTTGCCAAACCCATGCAGCTAAGAGCTGCTGCTGCGGCTGCTGCGCTGCAAGTAAAGATAAGTAAGGCGCACATTGGAAGGAGCGACGGCCGAGCAAAAATCAAGGTCTAGTTCGTATCATGCTCGGAACAGGACTATGAACAGTTTATGCGAGCATTGCACATGGGCACCCCTAAATCCACAGCAAGATAACACTTAATGATCTATACTTTGCATCTCCGGGGCGGGGTTGCGCAAGGCGATTCCACGGGATAATTCATGGAATAGATACATATGACTCACAGTTCCGCCAACGACCGAGGTGATGGGCACGGTCCATTCGGACATCTTGTGGCATTCCGAGTGTCGCACGGACTGCTCGTTTCAACACTGCTCTTCTTGAGTAGCCTGGTGGATTCTTGCATGCCAGGCAAAGCGTGCCTTGTTTTCTGGAACAGTTGCTGGCTGCGGGGAACAGCGCGGAAGAAGCCCTCGTAGTGGCCCAAGAGTTTTTGTGTTTTGAGGTGCACGGTGCATTTCAAATGCGCGTGAGTGGTCCTTCGCCTCTTTCAGGTGAAAGTCTTCCAGAAGGTGTCTGAAGACTTGATGAACTTCGCCGACACAAGATACATTGACATCTCCTCGTTGGGCAGCTCAGATAGGAAGCAGTCGGCTTCTCTGTGAGGAAGCAAGAGTTGGGATTGCAGAAGCTGCTTTTCCATCTTCTTTTCCATTATCCCTATAAAACCCTTGTACAATTATGCCCCTATATAACCCTAAGTAGTACTGTAGGTCTGGAGCGAGCTGCAGCTTGGCTTTCCGGTCGGGGGCAGCAGTGAAGGTGGCAGAACTCCCAGCAAAACGGCGACATGACAGGTGAGCATCGTCCAGCGTGTTTGTGGTGCTTCTTAGGCCTGGCTGGGAGATTCGCGCGTCATGGTTGCTACAGCCATGAGCCAAGCATATTATTTTCAGAAGCGCAGAAGCCGCAAGAATCCTGTTCAGCATTAGAGACTCCTAAGGTGACAGCAACCAGCCAGCGGGTCGACTTGGCCACTTGGATTCGAATGTGTTGGGCTGATGAGAATATGTTAGCATGTGACGTGACGTGTTCAAGCTTCATTTCTGTTTGCGATAATTTTCTGGGCTGGTTTTTGCAGACCTGAACACATTCTTGGAGAGAATGTCTTCCCCTCGACTTGTTCAGTCAAACGCCCTTTGCACCGTATCAAATTCTAAAGCGGGTTTGCAAAAGTACTGACAGAAACGGTTTGTGACGGGCAATGCTTCAGTGCAGAATGCACGAAATGCATTGGTAGCGAGAGCGGTCATTTTGCATGCAAGCTTTCACTAGCCTTGGGTGTCGGGGATCCTACCTGAATACCCCATTTGCCAGGTAACGCCACCGCACACCACAGAGGATAGCCTTCCATGTGTTTGAGCACTCTGCATTTGCTGGGTGGTTGATGCCGCGGTCGTTTCATCACATTGCCGAAAATTTCTGCAGGATGTGCAAGAGCTGCAACGAGCCCGGAACAGTGGTGCAAAGCTGGTTCAGGCCAGTCTTGCTGGGAGTTCTGGCCGGACCTGGCCCTCTCGGGAATCGAAGGCATTCTTCATAAAGTAGTGGTGTTGCGTTCCCCAAAGCTTCTGGGTTTAGACCGAGCAATGAGTCCTGTTCTCAAACCAAAGCATTGTAGTTGAGCTGTAGGCTTCTGGCATTTTGCGGCAGTGTTGCTTCAAACGATTCTTGGATTGGATACTTAAATCTAAATATTTTGGAACCACTCCCTCACACTCCTTCCTGTTTCTGCTCCTAAAATTTGCCTCGTTCAGCTAAGACGGATGTATCTAATTCTTCCTGTGATGATTGCATCCCATGAATGACCTGAAGCCGCATCGGCTTTGAAAGCCCATGGGGGCCGTTTGTGATCGTGGCTATCTCGGGAGACCCCCAAATCCCCGAAATTCCTTCCCTGATTAAATTTGCCAGGTCCCTCCGAATTCCGGGCACGTTGGAACCTGAGGTTGTGGCTGGGCACAGCAGTCGCAAGCTTGAAAGATGCACGGGATGAGCGCAGGAGGTCACTATGCAAGCATGCAGCAGGAGCAATCTCCAATCAACTCTTGATATTCCTACAGCTTTTGTAACAGAAAACCCGACGGAGTGAGGTCAGGATCTTTGCGCCGGTCTCCCTGCCCTAGTTGTCGCACAGACTTGTTTTATTGGGACTTGGGGTATGACAGGGTGAGCGCTTCCCCGGCCTTTATGCAACCCGCGCCTTCGGAGACATCGCCGGGCAGGTGGGACTATGTTGGGCAAATAGACTCTGCTGTATGCGGGTTCGATCCTGATTGGTTAAGGCTTTGGGCATTGTCAGCCAGCCCGACATACGCAAGACCTCCTTTGATAGGAGCCTTCTTCTTTGTCATGAATTCCAGCGACATTGAAGCATGTCAGCAATGCAGAGGACCCCTGGCGTCGTACTTCTGGGCTCTGGCGGCCTGTGGGAGATGTTGGATGACTCGAGGCCAGCGGAGCTGCTTCCGTCGGGATAGAAATTTTGCATCCTTCAACTTGGACACTTTGACATACTTGACAACAGTTGCGTTAGGGATGCCTCCCAGAGTAAGGCCTGGCGAAGAAGCCCTGCAGCTGCTGGGATCTTGCCGCCTGAAGGAATGCGGTTCCAGCCTCTGAACCTCTTATCTGACACATTTGACATCCAAGTGTGCCCTTCCCTCATTCCTTTCCCCATAGCTGGGGGCAAGGTCCGCGCATTGCCTCCGGCAAGCTGACATCAGAAGCCAAGTCCAGATGGCAGCAGGACCTCGTAGCTTTGCATTGCCTCGGTCCGAAACATGCTGCTAAACACATCTGAACATGGAGTTGCAGGCGAGTGAAGGATGCTGGGATGACGTCTCCTGCATTCTGCAAATTTCTTAGTCTTTTGGATGTTGAGGCCTTGTGGAGCTTATAGTGTTCTGAGTGGTTCAGAATGGGATCCGTCCGGGTGGGCGCTCAGGCTGCACTGGACGCAAGCCCCAACAGAGACACCAGGCCAACGAGGCCCCCTTTGATTGGTCAAAAAACACAGTCGCAATAATCATAGCATTAGTAATCATGATAAGCATTGGAAGAATAGTAAACCGTGTAATGTTCTTGCCAATGCCATGCTTGGTGCTTGCCACAACCCTTCCACGACGGTTAGGCACCTCTCCCGCAGTACCGCGAGGGACTCGGAAGCTGGATGGACCTTGCTGGCCTCTTTCCTTCCTGCTAAGACGCTTTCCAAGGAACTCTGTTTTGGGTGGGGAGGCCATTGCCCACATCGAGTCTGTTGAAGCATTTTTGTCCAATCCCGCTGGGCATGCGTAGGAGCAACGAGCATCCCTGGTCATATGTGCCCTGTTAGGATTCGGCCTTGATTCCGGACACATCGCTATGCCCCAAGGACCACAAGAACTCCAAATTCATACATGACGTATGCTACCCGTAGATTGAGCTAGATCCAATTACAGATCCAAACAGGAGTTCGAGCAGCAGCTCTTGACCACTGTGGAGGCAACTCGCAACGCAGTCAGTGCAGCCTTGTCTTTGTTGGTTCCTTTGAAAAGGTCTCCGGGACCACCGGCGCCTGGCTCCGCGAACCGTGCCCTGGCTAAAGCGCGTGATTTGGAGCAAAGGCATATGAAGAAAAATATGTATCTTGATAATGTAATCGCTAACGCGAGACCGCCTCGGCGAGTGTGGTCAAGGCGAGAGGGCATGCTAGCAGGTACAGCATACGCTGCAGCCATCTAACCCCGGACGGGCGCAAGCCGCAAGCGCCGGGTCCCAACCCCTTTTCAGGCCCTCCCAAGCGTTTCACCGCCCCAGGAAGGGGTATGGGGAGGGTTAACTTACTTCACTCATCTCCGCACCTGGATCTAAACGCTCCAGGCCTCCGGCCTGGGCGGATGCTAATTAACAGTAATAAAAAAAGTATTCTGCTTTCAAAAACGTACTGCTGGGGGGCTTGCAGCGCCTGGCAACACACCAAAAAGGGCGGTGGACCGCAATTAGCATTGGCAGGCATTGGCTAACATATAGAGCCCCCCAAAAGTAGATCGAAGACAGCTTTGGGTATATTATAGTAAGATCCCCATATACAAGGCAAGTGCAGGGGCCGGACCCCACAGGCCATCAATCAATCAATCAATCAATCAATCAATCAATCAATCAATCAATCAATATACCCCATATTCCCCCCGGGGGAATATAGTATAGTAACCCCTTTCCCCTAAAGCCTATACCCCATATTCTATCTACTTAGGGGCGGGCTATATCCATGCATTGGAACCTTGACTTGACCAGAGAGCTAGCCTGTAGAGTTGATGGCTGATAGGGGGACGAGGAACAGATTGTTTTGGGGGCTTTAGGGTGTAGGGCCCCATTGGGGGGGGTATATTATTGGGGCTATATTGAGATAATGGAAAACAATGTGGAAACTACTCTAGTCTATTGTATATAAGAACTGATGAGCCTGGCCGAAAAGTACAGTGCATGGCCAAGACTGCCGCCAGGCAGATCCGAAGCTTGCACAAAGTCCCTAAATGCTTGCTTTCAGGCTTTCGGGCAATCGTGTCAGCTTGAAGCGCCTGGATGCTGCAGGAGAGGTTGCTGCAGCAAGAATCGCACACTGAACTCAACAACATAAGCTGCAAGGCAAAGGCAAAAGATAAGTCCCGGGTATCACAATCTTGCTTGCTTTGGGGAAGTGCTTCTGAAACTCTTGGCCAGGACTTGTCCAGGCGCTACCAGCTTTTCAGGCTGGCAGCCGCGCACAGGCCGGGCCGAGCCGGTCAATAAAAAACAAGATTCATCCTGAAGCAATTTCAAGTTCCAAGACAGAAGGGGCCCTGACGGAAAGCAGATTGACTTATTTGAGGGCCCTGCTCACGGAACCAAAACCTATATAGTAAGCTGCCTGATGCATGGGAGGCAAGCTTTTGCAGCCGACGTGGCGTGGAGCAGGGCAAGGCTCGTCAGAGTGGAGGGAATTAAGCGGGGGGCGGACCGACGTGGGCTTCTCTTGGTTATGTACTGGCTGCCTTTCTCCACAGAAACCACGCATCTGTTTGGCAGCTGACATGTCTGGAGCAGTTTTGAACTGTACGCAACTTCGGCTTACCGCAATGTCTTGCAGGTGCATGCGCATAAGGTGTAGCTTTCTGGTTGTTTCTGGCTACATAGCACGTCCCTTGTTCTTGATTCATGTCTTCTTCCATATCTACTGGCCTGTTTCAACCAACTGAAGATCATTTTTCCGGATCGGGGGAGTTGGCAAGCACTTGACTCATTGTCTTGCCCTAGGCAAGGACTGAGCCCTCTTCATCTCATCCTTTCAACTGCTGATACTGCTGATTGGTGAGTTCCTCTTTACGTCTCTTTACCCATGCCTGAGAGCAATCAGTTAAGTGAAGTGCCTAGCATACGTGGCACTCATGACTGTTTACCCATGCATTCACTCAGCCTGAGCGCCGCTCACTTCGCACAGTCATGCTCGTACGCTTCATACTCTTGGGTCACATTCTTCTCTGGCGACATTTTTGTCAGCGCAAGGGAGGCTGTTGGCATCACACGCGCCCGTGGTCCTCCGCCCTTCTCATAAACGCAATTTGTCACCAGATGACCCCCAAGCTAGTTCAGTAACCTTCCATTTTTGTGTTGCCACAAGAGACCAAAGATGGACCCGCTGCTGTCTGCGAGCAAGCCATTGATGCTAACTAAGTCAGGATTTGCCTTGATCCAGATAGCTGCCTTTTCAAACAATTGGGTTTTGTGATAGGCTTGAGCGGCCTGCTGGCAACAGAGGCTTTTGACAGAAAGAATGCCCTTTACGACTTGCGACAACCCCTTTTGAGACAAAGCTTTTCTATGCATCAGCATAGGCATAGATTTTCAGAAGCATGAATGACAAAGGTATGTTACATTGTGTAGCAGCAGGCTGCAATAGATGTAGTAGGAGGAGGGGGTGCGACAGCCGGAATTCTTTGAGGATTGCTTCAGCATCACACGACGAGCTGCTACGGCTCTCTATGTGGCCTGAAGCCCAGGCTCAGCAGATCTCAGTAGCTACAGAGTTTTATCCCGAATGCAAGCTCTAAGCTCCCCTTGGTTGTTAGACAGCTCAGGTATGCAACGGCTTTGGTCCAGTTGGCCACATTGTTGCATTCCGAATTGCGCAGAGCATCCCAAAGTTTCTCTTCGAGGCATCCGATGAGGCACCGGGTGCCAAAAGCGGACTCGGCTTAGACCAAGGCTTCCAAAAGCGAATCGCCGCAACTGCTACGAAATACGAAGCCGCAAAGATCGTATGTGTTCATGGCGATTGTTCAAGCTCGTGCAAGTGCTGGGTAATGGCAGATGTAGAACTCACTTTGAGAACGTTTTCCAACATTCTTACTGGTCGTTAGAAGGGAAACAGGGAATATAGTCCCCATCTAGTCTTCATAGCTCATTTTGTATTTATTTATCGATTCACGTGTTTATTTATCCCCTTATTGCCTGCTAACCCCCCACAAGTTTTCCTATGGCTGAGCCAGAGAGAGCAGGCGCCCGAGCAGCTCTTGGCCAGGGCTTTTCAGGCCGCGTCCAATGAGCTCGGTCGCTCAGGGCTCGACCTGGCAGAATCCGGCGCCCTGCACGCAAACTCAAGTTTGAATGTGGTTTCTATTACGGCACCTAGTTTTAGGGGGTACCAGCATGGACTCTAATTTGGGAACTACCCATGTACCAAATTCAAGACCCTACTTGGAGATCATTACATGAAGGATGCGAGATTTTTCTCGCGGTGAAGGGAACTTTCCCAGAGTAACCATTATCACTTCAAAGGCTCCAGGCGTTGTGCCAAGCTCAGGGTTCAAGGGTCACAGTAGGCTTAGCAAGGGGCCCAAACAGATCGCCACCGCACAATGCAAGTCACGGCATAAGTTGTTCCTCCCGTGGCCTCAAATAGTTATTTGAGCCTGACGTTAGCCAGAGGCCCTTATTTTTGCTTCAAAAGCTGCATGGGCCTTGGCCTGTGGCCCGGGTGCTCAGAATTGGGTCTTCCATAGGCAGTCAAGGCTTCTATATGTAGTGATAGCAGCTGTGTGACCACAGTACTGCGAGAATACAATGAGTGCCCATTACAGGAGCGAGGTAATCATCTGCAATTTTCTGCTGACCCCGAAGAGAAAAGATAAGTCAGCCGAAAACAAAGGCACCAGCGTAGCGGCTGTCCTCCGGCAGGACTTACTGTGACATGCATCCAGCTGTTTCGTCGGCGTATGTGGACGTAGCCGGCTCCCTGCACAGGAAGATGCGGTTCATTTGGCCTGGCTCGGTGACAGCCGTGCACTTGTGGCTACCATCTCTGGACAGCGGTGTGCTCAGATCGTCCAAATATTGCTCTCTTTGTCGCCTTGGTCTGTCTGAGGTTCACCCGCCTTGATCTGTTGAGCCCATGCCACACCGAGCCGGAACGGCCACAGGAGCTTCTGCGGGCCTTTGGCCAGTCTGCAACCCGGCCAATTTCATTTAGGCTCAAGAGGAGAAGGAGTCCTTAATTTTTCTCCCACGGCGGGAGTTGGGTCGAGAAGTGTGTGCAATGCCCATCCAAACCATATTTCAGCCAGGCAACGGGCACTTGCAAGCCTGACTTGGCCAAGACTTCCTTTGACTCGACGCCTGGTCTTGTCCTGCCTCGAGCTCAAATCCTCCGCTGTTGTTTGAGCAGTCCTACGCATCTGCACTTCAAGCTCCTCTACACTCACTGTGATGTAATCTTCGGTGTTGTTAGCA